ATGCTGCTTTTTGGGCTATTTTGATTTTGTTTTGGTTTGTTTTTTTTCCCCCCAAATCTCACAATCAGCTGTTCTTGTCCCCAGACAGAGAGTTCCTCAATATTTGGAGAGAATTAGTGACAGAAATAAAATTCAGTCGCTGAATTATATCAATTATATTCAATTATATAAATTAAAATTGAATTACATAAAATCCGGCCTGGATGGATGGCATAAAGAGAAATTCCAGAAACGCAGAGACTCATTTTTATGCCCTCCCCTCCCTCTCTGAGAGCTCGACGTGGCCACATCCCTGTTGTAAAATTACAGTTTGGATTGATTTCTTTATTTCCTCGTCTGTGCCAAACATTAAATTCCCTTTCATCCTGAAATCCTGTCAGGAGTTTTTTTTCTGCTCCCATCCCTCTGAACTCCTTCAGAAAGATTTATTAGAGGAGGGGGGAGATGAAAAAAAAACAAACCACACCAAACCCTCTGGGGAAGTGTCTTAAACTGACGTGTGCAGCGAGGATGATTAAAAATTCAATATACAGCCTCTCTTCCCCTTCAAACGAGGCACTGGAAAGGAGGGCTTGAAGCAAACCAATCCCCCAGAATTACCCTGTTTTCACATGGAAACCTTGGCAGAGGAAATCCCCCTTTTCTTCCTGTTCTTTGTCCATTCCTGGGAATAACTCAAAACCCCCAATTTACAGCATAAAAATAAAAAAAAAAATCCTTCCCTGATTCCCTTTCCTTTCCATTTCCCAGAGAAAACTATCAGCAGCACGGTTTTTAATGTATATTTTAGTGCTCCAGATATTTTTCTCTGACACGAGAAGTTTCCAGTGTTAGGAGCTAATTCTTTTTTTTTTTTTATTTTATTTTTTTTTCCAGCTGGGGCAGAGTTTTAAAACAGATTTTGCTTCATTTTGCAGCGTTGGTTCCTCTTCTGTTGCTGTGGAAGGTGAAGAGAGAGGAAAAGATGCAGCCAGATGAAGAAGCCACTGCTAAAAAGATGAGAAGTTCCTTTGGACTTAATATTAAATCCTGTTTTATGCAGCAAGAGCTGCTGGTTGTGGTGTTAAAATTACCTGATTTTGGGGGCAATAATTGTCATTCACCTGGTCCTGGAAAACTGAGAGGAATTTGTGCTCCCTCTCCAGATTTGTCCTGTTTAAAGCCCATAATTTAAAGTGAATTAAGAGGGATTTTTTTCTGCTTGGTTGATTCACTTCCAGCTTTCCCACCTGTCTGTTAATCCCAGAATTCTCTTCCCTGTTTAAGGGATATTGTTTGTGCCCTTCTGTATGATTTTGAATAAATAGATTTTCACAGTATTTGCTCAAAATGTTTAATAAAACCACTCTCTGCTCCCCTGGATTTGATCTCCAGGTTAAAATCCCTGTGTATGGGTGGAGCCTGTTCTGGAAATGTTTGGTTTTTTACTGGAAATAACAGGAACTGTGGAGTCAGGGAGAAATTTCTGAGTGTTGGGAGGTGGAAGAACAGGCACTGAATCCTGGCACAACATCAGTTAAAAAAAGACCAACCCTTAGTTAAATACCCACAAAATTGAATTCATTTATTAAATCGCAGAAAATTAGGATTAAATCAATTAATTAAATGATGTTTAACTGCTACAGCACCACACCAGGCAACCTAAGCTGCCCTTTGTGCCTTCAGAGCTTTAAAAGCTGAGGCTGAAAAATAAACTTCTGGTGCATCCCAGGCTTGGAGGAGCCGATTTTGAGGCTCATTTAAAGCCACTGGATTTTAAAAACAGTGATGTTTGCTCCCAGAAAACAACAACAACAACAAAAATTTACCAACTCCAACAGCAGTCTGTCCTGTTGCTGCATGCAGCTCTTTTATTTTCATTTATCTTTACAGAAATGTGAAGCATCTTCACAGGAATTGTACAAAACCCTCTCCCCCCTTGGCTGCGTCCCGGAACAGCTCCCAAAATTCGGTCCCCGAGAGGAAAGCCGGGAGTTTCACCTGCTGTTGCTGCTGAAAAAATAAAGATCCATGCAGGAACTGACCTCGGAATACAAACATGTCCTAGAGAGGTTAAGTAAAAAGGGGTATAACAGGAAATAAATATACTTGTAATAGTTGTTTAATGCAGGATATGTGGATTTAGTCCATATTGAACGTTAAACATGCTGCTGGAAAACCCCAAAAGATCCCAGCTGTCCTCGCTCCTGCAGCTCCCCAGGGCCTGGTCTGCCTCTGCATTGGAGCACAACTATTTCCCTTCAGAAAAATCAGTTTGTTTGTTTTTTTTTTTCCAAAAAACCACCCGTGGAAGGTCCTTGTGCTCCTCTCCCGACCAGCCCCTTGGCAGCAGAAACGACTCCTGTGGCTGCTCCCACCTCAGCCAGACCATTAGAAAAATAAAATACTTTTGTTTTTACATTAGTACTGAGGTTAAAGAACTAGGAAAAGGAAAAAAAATGAACCCTTGGTTCTCACACTTGCCTTGCCCACGGGTGAATTATCTATAGGGGGAGGAAGTTGTTCCTCCATCCCAGGAGGAGTTGGGCTGGAATGGGGAGCCCCCGCCTTGAATCCCGGGATTTATACGCTGGACCTGCTCAAAATACAGGAATATCGAGGCTGTTCTGGCAGCATCACAAACCATTCAGTCCTTTTGGTTTGTGGTTTCCTCTCAGGTCGATGATCTCCTGGAATCTGAGGGGCAGGAGGAACCTCGTGTGCTCCGAGGGAGCCTCTGGAACACGGACAGGGCCACAGGGCTGACCTGGCTGCTCGGGGCTGGGGAGGGGAATTGAAAGCAATTTAAAGCAATTTAAAGTAAATTAAAGTAAGTAGTTTAAAGTAAAAAAGGTGGGTTTTTTTAAGGAATTTAAAGTGCCTTGAA